GAGTTCGCTCTTGTGACTTGAATGATGTAATGCTCTTTGCAGCAGCCGGTTCTTTTGCTGGGAGGACTGCCAGGTGCGGCTGGACTTGTTTGTTTGCTGTCGTGTTGAAGTGATTCTTCTTTTTTTTTTCTTTTTTTTTTCTTTTGTGTTCTATTGTTTCACGCATTTTCTCTTGTTTGTTGTATCTTCTTTTATTTTTCCAGTTTTCTTTTATTTTTCGTATTTTCTTTTATTCGTTATATTTTCTCCTATTTCTCTTGTTTTTTTTTCGTATTTTCTCGTATTTATTATATTTTCTCTTATTTCTCTTTGTTTTCTTTTATTTCTCTCATGTTTTCTTATTTTTTTCCTATTTTCCTTTTTCTCTTATTTTCTCTAATTTTCTCTCATTTCTCTTTACGACAAGTAAGCTTTATATCCGTATATACATATATATTCTTTGGCGTACTTCAGATAACGTAGATTTATACCATAGTCTGTTATCCCTTATTAGTATTCCATATACAGTCAGAACTATAAGTATCGTTACCTTTTGCACAAACCAATATTAAAAATCGACGAAGTGGTGTGGAATAGCGAGGCAAGGTAGTTAGCAAAGTAATCAGGTGTCAACGGAGAGCAGCGTTCAGTTCCTCTTTGAACACAAGTGAAGGTGACGCGAGTTTTGTATTTCGTCTTAGGGTGTTCGGGATTCCCATCTACCTGTTTTCACCTTTATAATAGTCTGCTCGGTTATATCTTTGTTTGTTTTTGTTTTTGTTTTTTCATTTCTTTTCTTAGGATAGTATTTATGGTTGTAATAATGCTTGAAGTGGGAAGATTACGTTAGTTTGTTGTGATGATTTCTAACGGTGTCTGTGTATTCCTTTCGCAGGATGACAGAGAGGACGGGTGGAGGGTTCCTGAAGGAGTCTTCCACGGACTTCTTCAAGCGTTCGTCGTCCGTGGAGATCCTTACGCCCACGAACGGACAGCTCCTGGCGCGGCGTCCCAACATCAGCACGAGCCACCTGCCGGAGCCGGTGACCAAGAGCAAGACCAAGAGCGAGGTCGCGCCCGAACTGACCCCGCCAGACCGGCAGACGTCGGCGAGCACCGGGACCCTCGCCCTGTCGTCTAAAAATGGCGCGCCGATGCAAAATGGAACAGTATCCCCTCGCAACCAACGGAGCTTAGAAAACGTGCGCCTCGGGGAAAAGCTTCCCAAACCCCAGAGGAGAAAGGGGGCGCAACTCCCTCCCTTACATATGCCCCAAGCAAATGCCCCGACGCCCCCCAACGCCACGCCCCAAGGCACCCCCATCATCGGCGAGAGGGGGCATATCTTCACCATCTCCAGCGCCGTGCCAGACGACCCTATTTCGAAGAACCATCCCAGGAAAGAAAGCGGCCCTGACCTCAACCCCTTCGAGAAGAGGCGCCCTTCTGGAAAGACACCTGTGACGTCGCCGAAGGAGGGTGAGTTGACAGCAGGTGGAATTCCTCGATTTTTATGTCCGTTGCTGGAAAGTCACGCCGGCAGAGTGGGTCGCACAGAAAGCCAAATGTGTAAACAAAGCGACAATTTATTTATTTTTTATTCATATAAACACATTTATATCTTAGTTCATATTTTAAATAACGTAGATTTACGTGGCGTGGCGTTGCAAGACATGTATTTATCTTTAAGCATAGAGTTATTTACATGCCTCACTAAGATTCTCCGTACTTGCGGCCTAGCGCTGTGGTTGGTCGTTGGCCGAAGAAAGTACCTAATTTGGGCCTCAGAGCGAATTGTGTTGTAGGCTTTCCGCCTTCTCGTCTCGCTGCTTCACCTACAAAGGCAAAAGCGTTGGATACAGATATTTAAGTATTGTTTTCGCACGTACACACACACACACACACACACACACACACACACACACACACACACACACACACACACACACACACACACACACACACACACACACACACACACACACACACACACGCACACACATACATACATACACATACACATACATACATATACATACATATACATACATATATACATACATATATACATACATATATACATACATACATACATACGTACATACATACGTACATACATACGTACATACATACATACATACATACAATCATACATACATACATGTATATGCATCCACAGACAGAGACATCAATCAATCTATCTGTCTTCGAGTTTGTCTCTATCTTATCTATATTTAAACACACAAACGCACAGACACATTTGCGTCCATTCGCTTATTCAAGCATCGAAGCTTTTTATCTCACATCACCGAACCCAAAACATACCCTTCTACGCATACAATTGCCTCCCTCTATTCTTTAAACTCTCCTTCTTACTTCAAAATTACTGCTAGAAAGATAATGAGCGATAATAATCTTATTTATTAACTGTCCCCTTCCAGATGAGGACGAACCCGTGTGGCAGAGGAGGCTGTCTCAGCTGTTCGTTCCGCCCAGAGAGGACGAATTCGATCATGAGAAAGTAAGCGGGAAATTTGAAATCTTGTTTTGCGTGTATGTGTGTATGTGGTTAGGTTATTCAGTAGGGTGTTTTGTTTTACTTTTTGTTTGGTAGGTGTTTATTTGTTAGTTCGAACATGAGAAGATAAGAGGGAACTTGAATCCTTTGTATATGTATAATATATATATATATATATATATATATATATATATATATATATATATATATATATATATATATATTATATACATGTACATATGTGCATGTATGTGTATATGTATATGTATATATATATATATATATATATATATATATATATATATATATATATATATATTTATATATATGTATATATATGTATATATATGATTATGTATGTATATATGTATATATATATACACGCTTGTCTATGGGATTTCTTATACAGTATTTGTTAATATTTATTTAGTTCTCTAGTGACCCAGATTAACTTATTCGTTATCTCTTTACTTGTTGAACGCACTGCGGCCGCAGTAGCACCACGCCATCGGAACTTGGATAATAAGTAATGGATATACTAGTGAAGGTGATTTCGTTACAGTTGTTGATTAGGTTCATGTATGTTGCATAACTCTTTTTCTCTTGTCGGCTTCTTTATGTATTCATCTCGCAATTAGGTTATTTTTTTTTTGTTGTTGTAGACCTTGCATTCCGTTGTAAGTTTTTTTTTTCCAGCTGATTACGATTACAGTTTATTGCATTACGTATTTTACCACTGTTATAATAAGGTTAATAGATTTCACACTTTTTTTCGTTTTTACTTCTGTTTACTTATTTATTTATTTATTTTGCATTACGATACCCTATTCGTTTTCAAGTATTGAGTGCATTACATTAGATTACATGTCCATTGCAGTATTTTTCACGACGCCACAATTGCCCGTTTTCTTCCCCGGATTAAACAAGCCATTAAAGTCGTTTTTCCCTTTCTTAATCGACGTGACCTCATCCTTCGTTAAATAGAAACCTCCCCAAGGCTGCAAGGAAGTTCGGGGGACCTTTGTGTGGCTTTAAGAGTTCACGTGTGTATAAGTCTTTTGGTGTTTTTCCTTTTTTTTTTTTTTTTTTTTTTTTGGCTCGCGTATTTGAACTTGGCGCGCGTCGAAAGGTGTCAAAGAAAACGGGTTTTTTTCACCTTGTCGAATCGAGTTGGCGATTATTCATTCTTCTTGTTATTGTTGTTTCTTCCTGTTCTTCTTGTTCTTCTTCTTGTTGTTCTTCTTTGTTGTTCTCTGCGTCGTCTCGTTCTCGCTTTCTCTCGCCTGACCTCTGTTCCTCTCGCTCAGTTCTTCCTGCCTGTGCCATTTATATGACTGTTATTGCTTTTTGCACCTGTCTCCCACTTTCGCAAACGCAAATTGATTTTGTTTCCGTTTTCGGGGGGAAGTTTCTCTTCTTGCATTTCCTTCTTCCTCAAGTCTGCTGCATAAGTCGCTTTTCTTTTATTGTCTTTAATGTATGTGCGTCGTTTTCTTAGACGCGCGCGTGTATGCACCTGTGTGTGTGTGTGTGCATACATCTATCTAGACATATATATCTATGTTTATCTATCTGTCTATATATCTTTTTATAAACTTATATATACACGTTTGTGCACACACACACACACACACACACACACACACACACACACACACACACACACACACACACACACACACACACGCACACACACACACACACACACAAATATATATATTGTATTTATATTTAGGTGTATATATATACCCCCCCCCCCATCCCTCTTCCCTCTTCCCACTGTCTCTCCCTATCTCCACATTCTTTTGTTCCTGCATTCCCTTCTCTCCACTCACCGCATTCCCTATCCCCCCCCCCTTCTCTCTCTCTCTTTCTCTCTCTCTCCCTCCCTCCCTCCCCTCTCTCTCTCTCTCTCCACCTCTCTCTCTCTACCTCTCCTTCTCTCCCCCTGTCCTTCCCTCTCTCCTTCCCCCTTACTCCCTCTCTCTTTCTCTTTTCCCTTCCTCCTCCCCCACTCTCCCACTCCGTCCCTCCCACCCCCCCACCCCAAACTTCTCCCCCCATCCCCCCCTCAATGCATGAGTCACACACACGCCATCGAGTTAATGTGACATTTTATAACTTCTGATTAAAAATTATCACTAATAATGAGCCGGCGTGGTGCCACTGCCTCCTCTTCCGGCTGACGGGAAGTGGCACTCCAACAGAGCCAGTGCCTACGCGGGGAGGATTATATGTCTCGGTTTTGTTGGTTGTCAGATTAGTTTTATTTATTATTATTATCTTATTTATATATCTGTTTATCTGTTTGTTTGTTTGTCTTCCTTTCGATGTGTTAGAGATTGTGTTTGTTTGTTTGTTTGTTTCTTGTGTTTATTTATTTGTTTGTTTTGTTCTATATGGTGAAATGAGAGAGAGAGAGAGAGAGAGAGAGAGAGAGAGAGAGAGAGAGAGAGAGAATGGATCTATGTATCTATGCATGTCTGTGTGTGTGTGCGTATGT